TTCTCGGACAGGTCACCATATCTTTAACCTGTTCCACCTTTTCTCTCTTTAATTTAGCCGGACTGCAGGTGGAGGCAGAACAGAGGGTGATGATGGTGGCAGAGGGTAACAGCACCTACCTGGAGTGTTTGCCTAGATCCAGACATGCTGCAGTGACCTGGTACAAACAGGCTGGAGAGAACAGCGCTGAACTAAACCAGGTGCAGTCACACGTTTTACACTTGTGCTTTCATTTATGTTCCAAATCCTTTTTACAGCCACTTTGTTCGAGATTATCCAGATTATAAATTTCCTCTCCGAAAATCTCTCGTCAGGTGGTAACTGGTGACCAGCTGGTGGTGATCGAGCGGGGCGTCCTGATTCGTCGAGCCGAGCTGTCTCACGGCGGGGTCTACCACTGCCAGGTGGAGGAGCACGGCTACCACTGGACTGCAGTCACCGTGCGCCTCGCTGTTTGGAGCCCCTCTGCCAATCGCCTCCTGGCTTCCTGGTCGGCCTCGTCCTATCAGAGCGCCGGAACCCAGCCGTGGTACGAGAACGTGATGGCACTGATTCACCCCGGAAACCTTGGCCAGCACTGCAAGGCTCTGGGATACCGCCCTCCGCGCAACCACCATCGCCATGGTGACACAAAGGCAGAGCCACACAAGGAGAAAGAGAGGCACAAGCATGGCGGGGGAAGAGGAGGAGGAGGAGGCGGCGGAGGACGAGCAGCGGGGAGGAAGAGCAGGAGCAAGCCGCAGCAGAGGGCGCCGAGGAGTGCTTGAACGCATGCACGAGCGGGAGGGCAGATTTTCAGTGACTTCAACAACTACACAAACACGCAAACACACACACGCACACAAATGCACACATGTACACATACACAGTTAACTTATACACTGAGACACACACATACTGTATGTACAGAGACTACTTCATGCGCATGCACTTATCTACAAACAAACATGGCGTCCTTTCATTATAGAGACAAACAAGCTAAGCTACACACGAGTGACTGAAGTATGTACAGGATCTGGACAGCGAGGACTGTTTCACCGGGACAAATGACTGTATGAACAAAAAGGCTTAGGTTGCATCGCATGTTGAATGAAGGATAAAAGGCATGCCTAAATCCCTAAGTTTGACTGACTCTGAGTCATGACAAGGACATTTGATTGGATTCTTTAGATTTGGACGCTCTACAGAGAGAGAGAAAAAAAATAAAAACAAAAATCCGAGTCTCGTTCCAGAAGTCGATTTTAAGCATTTGGAAAAATCATCCAACCCGTCTGTCCCAAAAAGGACCATACTTGTGGTTTTGCATGTTTTTGCCCATTAATTAGGAATCACAGCTATCACTCAAAACAGAGCAGATGTTTTTTGGATTGATTTCCTACCTTCCAGGCAAAAAACTGCTTTCCATTTATTTTGTGATGTGGAAAGAGAGACATTTTTTTTCAAAGTCGTGTTCTTGAAGTTGAAGAAGTACTTTTTTCCCCAAGTACTTTGCAAAACAATTATTGCGCTTCAATTTCAAGGACACTCTTTCCTCTGGCATACAGGAATAAATTTTCAAACTGCTTCTTTGTTG